AGAGAGAGAGAGAGAGAGAGAGAGGCCTTTTTGAGACAGGGTCTCCTTGTAGCCCAAGCTAACCTGGAACTCACTATGTAGATCAGATTGGCCTTGAACTCATCTGCCTCTGCCTCCTTAGTGCTATGACTAAAGGCATGTGCCACCACACCCAGCTCAGAATACCATTATATTCTTAAAATTATTATTGGGTATCCCAAAGAGTTTTTATTTATGTGGGTTATATCTACCCATATTTATTGATATACTTATTTTTTACATTGATTCACTTAAAATTTGCAATAGGCTGGAGACGTAGTTCAGTGATAAAGAGCTTGTCTCGAAATGTATTGGGCCCTGGGTTCAATTACCAGCACTGGTGGGAAAAAGTAGCAATAACTCATTGTATATTAACATATGTAACTTTTCTTTTTTTAGACAGGGTCTCACTATGTAGCTGTGCCTGGCCTGGAGCTCACAGAGATCCATCTGCTTCTGCTTCCCAAGTGCTGGGATTAAAGGTAAGTGCCATTATACCCAGCACCATAAATAACTTTTCTTTGGTTTGTTTTTTGAGAAAAGGTCTCCCTGTAGCCCCAGCTGGACTGGAACTTGCTATGTAGACCAGAGAGGCCTCAGTTTCACAGAGATTCACCTACCTCTGCACCCCAAGTGCTGGGATTAAAGGCACATACCACCACACCCAGCTAACATATGTAAAACTTTTTTTTTTTTTTTGGTCTTTTTGAGACAGGATGGAGCTGTAGCCCTAGCTGGCCTGAAACTCAATATGGAGACCAGGCTGGGCTTGAACTCGCAGAGATCCACCTGCCTCCCGAGTGCTAGGGCTAAAGGCGTGTGCCACCACACCCGGCCATATATAACTTTTAAAATAATTATATTCTCCAAAAATATCATGAGGATAAAACATTGCTCTACATTTTGCAAATCTTTTTTATGTCTAGTTTCTTAAAAGGTAGTTGGAGCTGGGCATGGTAGGACACGCCTTTGATCCCAGCACTTGGGAGACAGAGGCAGGCAGATCTCTGAGAGTTTGAGGCCAGCCTGGTCTATATAGCAAGCTCCAGGCTAGCCAGAGATAGATAGTGAGAGCCTGTCTTTTAAAAAAAAAGGTGGCGGGGGGAGGGAGTGCTGGAGAGATGGCTCAGCAGTTAAGAACACTTGCTGGTCTTCCTGAGGACCCAACCTCTTTTCTTAGCACCCAGATGCTGGCTAACAACTCCAGTTCCAGGGGATCTAATGCCTTCTTCTGGCCTCTGCAAGAATTGCATGCACATGGTGCACTTACTCATACACCTAAAATAAAAATAATAAATAAAATATATGAAAAAGGCAGATGGAGATGGCATAGTGGCATACACTTGTGACTCTAGTACTTGGAAGCAAAGTCAGGAGGAGCATGAGGCCAGTCTGGGCTACAAAGTAAAACCCTGTCTCAAAAAAAGGTGAACATCCCCATTCCTCAAAAAACTGAGGAATATATTAACATGATCTGAATGACACAATAAAACTTAAAAACAAAATACTACAGTACTTCATAAATCAAACAAACTAGTAAAAATAGCTGAGTAGGATGGCTCTCATCTCTAATTCCAACACTCAGGGGCTGAGGTGGGGCGGCAATGAGTTCAAAACCACTCTGAGCTCCAAGGTAAGTTCCAGGCCAATAGGTGCAAGACCCTGGGGAAAAAAGAAAGGGTAACTAGATTGTTATATCTGCTTCCACATTCAATTATAGATAATGTGCATCCATGACCCAATGACAGTTTAGAAGGTAAGTATTTTCACATTATTATACATAAAGTGTGGCCATGAAAGGATCTTGAGTATGTCCAAAGGATCCCAGATCATTGTGAATCAGTAATTTAAAGAATTGTCATGTGCTAAGAGAAGGAAGGCATTTCATTCATTCAAAAAGCGTTTAAACCAGGCGTGGTGACGCACGCCTCTAATCCCAGCATTTGGGAGGCAGAAGCAGGTGGATCTTTGTGAGTTCAAGGCCAGACTGGTCTACACAGTGAGTTCCAGGACAGCTGGAGCTGCAGGGAGACCGTCTCAAAAAGACAAAAAAAAAAGCACTTAAGGGCTGGAGAGATGGCTCAGTGGTTAACAGCCTGTACTGCTCTTTCAGAGGTCCTGAGTTCAATTCCCAGCACCCACATCCAACAGCTCACAGCAGTCTATAACTCCAGCACTGCACTCACATGAAAAAAAAAAATCCACATACACATTAAATAACTTTTTTTTTTTGCTTTTTTTGAGACAGGATCTCCCTGTAGCCCGAGCTGTCCTGGAACTCACTATGTAGACCAGGCTGGCCTTGAATTCACAGAGATCCACCTGCCTCTGCCACCCAAGTGCTGGGACTACAGGCGTGGGCAACCACGCCCAGCAATAAAACATTTTTTTAAGTACTTAAAAACTGGACAAGAATTCGTGTAATTTCAGCACCCAGGAAGCGTAGGCAGTTATGTTTCCAGGCCAGCCGGAGCCACAAAGCGAGGCCCTATCTTAAAAAAATAAAAATAAAAATAAAGCGCGAAAGAGAGAAAAGAAAAAAATATTTATTAAGTGCTCACTGTCAGGCATTGCTCAAAGCGTTAATTAGACGGATCAGGTGCCTGTCCTTTGTTTACTCACAGTAGAGGGACCACCAGAGTTGAGCTGTGAAATGAGACAAGTGACAAAAAGCAGACCGTGCACACACCTAAGGAAGTATCCTTCCAGACAGAGTAGGGGGCTCTCCCAGGTTCCGAGCCTCCGGCTGGAATATACCCTGAGAGCAAAAGCCATTTAGGTCTGAGAGGTGGGCAGGGCCAGATCCGAACGAATCTAGAAAGTAATTAGGCCAAAATGTCTTGATGGTGTAAGAAAACGGCAGGAAGGGTGCAATGGCTAAAGATCGGCTTGGAGACCGCAAAGGTAGCTCAGTGGACAAGCTCCCTCTCAGCTTCCCGCCTCCAACCCACCTAAAGACTTGTCAAAAGGGCAATGGGAAGAGCGCGCGCTACTTGTGGAATATTGAGCCTTTACTCCTGCCGTAGCCACCGTAACAAAGGCTGCGCGTTGCCGTGGAGCCGGCGAGATGCCGCAGAGCCAGGTGGACTGCACCAGCGGTAGGCCTGGGCAGTCATGTCTGTGCTGGACGTGCTGTGGGAGGACAGGGACGTCCGCTTCGACGTGTCCTCGCAGTGAGTGTCCGCGATCCCCGGGGGTGGAGGGCGGTGGGGACCTGGAGCGGAGCCTGCATCGCGGCTGGCGGCCTGGGCCAGCGCGACCGATTCGCGCCGTCGTCCCCGCCTCGGGATACCCAGAAGGGCTCTGAGCCCAGCCTCGTTCGCTTCGCCTTCGGGTGGGACCCGGGTGGGCACCCGCCCACATGACACGACTTCCACCCGCCCACATGACACGACTTCCACCCTGGTGGTCTCGGGAGTGTGAGCGGAAAGAGGCCTAGACCCAAGACCTTTCGAATGAGTGACTCCGCATGTCTGTAAAATGAGGGGAGTGGGAGTGAGCATTCTCCAAAATTCCTAACCGCGCAGACTTTATGTCCATGACAAGCTTTCCTGTAGCTGCCTATAAATCACCAACTGGAAGCAAGAGCCCCCTGTCAGAGCGCCTCAAACAGAAGCCCTGTTTGCCGGAAATAATGCTTTAAAGAGAAAACAGAAACTCCTGGGCAGAAGTCCGGGGGCGGGGGAAGCCCATTGAGATATTAAGTGTTGGGAAACATTAAAACTGAAATTCTTGGATTAATGCCATGGATCTTCATAGCCAATTCTTAATGGCACTTTATCACAGACAGTACCTCCTTAAACAGAAAAATGAAGCACTGGCACGCTTCTCAGGCTTTGTGGTAGCTGGCTACCAGAGTATTGGATCTTTTATTTATTTTTAACTTGAAGATGAGCAAATATCTTTTATATACAGCAATACATAGAATAGAGCCTCCCTCCATCCCCCCTCCAGTCCGTTCTAAGCTGTCCTCCTCCCACCCAACCGTACCCCAGGCCCATCCTCTTGGGTCACCAAACGGGTTAGGCCCCTACAAGAGCCAAGTGAAACGGCTGGGGAGTGGGTAGAGGCCTGACAATGGGCAATAGATCCTTTAGGAAGTTGAGGGAGGGGAGATTTGTAAAATGACAAACCATAGCAACACATTACAGACATTCGCTTTTTCCATCATTCTTGGAGGGCTTTTAATTCAAACAAAACTCCAGATTTGATGACCATTTTCAAATAACATATGCTGATTACTGTGCTAATAGAGATTCAAAAATAATGGAATGATAGTCATACACCCCACACATAGGCAACTATAATAACTGTGGCAATTACCATTCTGGGGGGGAAAATGAGGAAAAAAGGGGACTGGGGAGATGGCTTAGTGGGTAAGAGAGATTGTTGTGCAGGCATGAACACCTGAATTTGAATCCCTAGCACCCATGTAAAAAAACAAGCAGCTGTACATGAGCTGTAACCTCAGTGTTGGGAGGCAGAGACAGGTGGATCCCAGGAGCTCAGGTGCCAGCCAGCTTCTGGATCAGGCATACAACACCCTCCTCTGGCCTCCACACATGGACACTTGAGCCCTCACATGAATATTCATGCAACACACACACACACACATACACACACACACACTAAAAAGCTAAAAATGTTTAAAAATCAATGGGCAGGAAGCTGGGAACCCTAGAAACAAAACAATTTTTATGCCTAGAAAAGGCCTCAAAAAAAATAGTATTTGAATTGATTCTGAGGGACAGGCAGAGCTTTGCCGATGTAGACAAAGTATTCTAGAAAAAAAGAAAAGAAAAAAGGAGTATGTGGCAGTATAAAGCTCATTGGCAAGAGGACGTGGTCTGGGGCAAGGAGAGGGTGGAAATACAAATAGAAGGGTTGGTTAGCTAGAATATTTATTTTTTATCTATTATTATTATTATTATTGAGACAGGATCTTACTGTGTAGCCCTGTAGCTAGAATTTTAGGTGTTCAATAGCAGATTTGGGGGCTTCAACTTCTAGCAGTTGTATGACATGGAAAGCTTTTAAACCAGGATCATATTGGTGTTCTGAGTAGCTAATTGAATCAGCTCTATGGCAAGGTTATTAAAGGCTCTACCTTATAGTCTGCTATTTTATTTTTAGGTTTTTTGTTTGTTTGTTTTTTTGAGACAGAATCTCATGTAATAATTTAGGCTAGCCTACATAGCTGAGGATGATCTTGAGTACCTGGTCTCCTAATTGCTGATATTTCAGGCTTGCACATTCTTGGCTCTGTCACTCAGCAAGCTATTTTTTTGGTGTTCCCTTTTGTGACATATATCTAATGGTTTTATGAGTCCTGAGGATACTTTTCATATAATTCTTTTTTTAAACTATAACTGTCTGATGTACTTTTGTCTACTTAGAAACCTCTGGGAGGTATCTACTGTCCACAGAATAAGGCCCAGACCCATGTCATGCTGGGATTCCGTATTCTCAATTATTTGCTTTCTCCTCAGTTATCCAACAGTCTTTCTCTCACTACTCAATACCTCTTCTTCCCAGCCACTTCTCTTACCTTCGTTGTTCCTCGGTTGTTTTTTTTTTGTTTGTTTGTTTTTGTTTTGTTTGTTTTTATTGTCTTTTTGAGACAAGGTCTCCCTGTAGCCCCAGCTCGCCTGGAACTCACTATGTAAACCAGATTGGCCTTGAACTCACAGAGATCTGCCTGCCTCTGCCTCCCAAGTGATGGGATTAAAGGCGTGTGCCACCACACCCGGCCTGTTCCTGGGTTTTAATCATGGACTCTTTGCTATCTCCCTTTTAGTTATACAAGTCCTACCCCTTCTTCTGTTCTGGCCACTCTAGGTCCAACTGACCTCCAGGTTCTAGAAGTTCTTAAAGATCTTTTCTTTTTTTTTTTTCATTTTTAAAAATAATTTATTTATTATTTTTATTTTTTATGTGTACATGTATTGCCTTCATGTTGTGCAATGCTCATGGAAGTCAGAAGAGGCTGTTGGATCCCCTGGAACTGGAGTTACAGACAGTAGAAAACAATTCTTCTTTTTTTTAAATTAATAACCACATAATTAGAAGAAGCATTTCATGACAACAACATTGACATATTCAATAACAATTTCCAGAGCTAAGATGCATCTGTTTCAAGATTAGCTGTGCATTTTTAGGTTTACAGTTGAATTAATACAGTTATACATTATTGTACTCAGAATAAACCTTTTAAGACATAAAATTAAATGAGGTTTTAGCCTTTAAAAAAGATCTCCATTTCATTATTAAAATACATAGTTTCATACAGAAAAATTCGTTTGTAATGCAACTGACACTAAGATGTTTGCACATGCATTTCTAATCTCTATATATCTGATTATTACTAGTCACAGTTGGTTACTTACTGAGCTCCTTGGCATCTGAGCATGGATATAAAGTCATCAGGTAGATTTCAGTGGTAATGTTTTTCACATCTACTAATCTTAAGAAGCAAATTTTTACGCTTTGAATAATTATTTTTTTTAATTTTTAAAACAATTTAATAACTACATGATTAGAAGAAACATTTCATTACAGCTTTAGCATATTCAGTAACACACTCCAGAACAAGGATACAGCTCTTATAAATTTTTAGGTTCACAGTTGAACTCAGTATAGGCCCTGTAAGATATAAAATTGAATGAGTTTTTACCCTTTAAAGACGATCTCCAATTCATTTTAAGATATGCTGTTTTCTACATTTTTAATGCTAACACACGTTTGCACATGTATCTTTAATCTCTATGCATCTGATTATTACTAGTCATAATTGGTTGCACT